CGGGATTCGCATGGCTTCATATCTTGGGGGTTTAAAAGTTAATCATGAATGATGTGTTGCCTTTCTGAATAAAAAGACTCCTTATTTTATGTAACTATAAAGTGAAGCTTTAATGTTCTTCTATATGTGTTTCCTACATTACATATAAAAGAATACTAAGTCATCCATTCCCACTCACCTATTCAAGAAAATACCAACTATTTATTCTTAAGTGAATTGAACAGAATACTGAATGGAGCACTATAAATAATGCAGTGAAAAATAAAATGGAAAAACCCCAAAGGCATCCCTCCCAAGATGACAGGTCTGCCATTGACCAGATCCTTTCTCCTGTCCTCACCTGCTGTGCAGGCCTGTGTCTCTCCACTGCTGGGTGGAGAGAGCCAAGACACAAGTTCTCTTCCATCTCAGGAAAGATCAGGGACATGACCTTCTTTCAGCATTTTCAGTGGCTGTAATTTATAATTAACTCAGCAGCTGTGCTGTGGAACATTCATGGTTTCTAACAGTCCACACCTTAACTGATTAAGAAGAGAATAAGGTGTCTGTCAATGTCATTTTTATAATGACCACTAGAAGTGAAATTTCCAGGTAAAATGTATATAAGATGAGCTTGAGGGTCGCAGATTTTACACTTGAAGCCTCAGCATAAAGATAGAGCCTGGTAGAGGAAGACTGAGTCTCCTCAGATCTATGTGGAGATCTAAAGTCAGAGAGATGGTCCAGGCAGAGGTGCAGGACACAATGGCACCTAGCAGGAACCATGGCTAAAAAAGGCCCAGGTGCAGGCCACCTCATCCTTGAGTAAGTTCTCAGGAAAGCATCACACACTGCACGTTGGACAGGAGAGAGCTGGAATGGTTCCAGAGCTCCTCCCTACATGCCTGAGGCCCCCTCCCTCACTCAGGGGAGCTCTGTATGAGAAGGTCAGTCTGTTACAGAGCCCAACCTGACTTAATGTTTTCCACCCAGGTGCAGATCTGAACTGCCACATGTGGACTTACCATAGCTATGGAGCAGGACAGATGTTTACAGGGAGCAGGTCAGGAGATGGGGACACTGCAGGCAGGTCAGGGTATGAAGCCTTAAATAAGAGACCAGGCACTCACCAGGCCCAGTTTCCTCCAGCAGTAACCATATCCTGCAAGAATGTGTATTAAATCTGAGTAACCGAAAGGAGTTACTCACAAAATTATATATTATAGAGATAGCTTGAAGATACAAAAGTAAATGGTAGCATCCGTAAGTAAAATGAGATGTGACCCTTAATGGATATGTGGTGTCCATTGATGTCCCTAAACCACATGCATCAGAAGGAAATAGCCTGATGAAGAGAGCAATAAGGAGCACAGACAATGTGTAAAAACCACAGCTGCTTAATAACAACAACAATGCTGGTATATAATAAGTGCACTGGTGAATTTTATCCAGTATTTAATAAAGAATAAATACTGATTGTTTTTCAATTCTTCAATCAAGTTGAAGGAAAAACCACCACCAACTTCTTTTATGTGACAAAATAATTCTGAGAATGAAGCCAGATAATAATGTGTTAAAATAATATAAATGAAAACACTCTGTTGGCTAATATTCCTACCAAACATACAGAAACGTGTTCAGCTAAATGTTTGCCACGTTAACTACACAGCATATTCAAAATTAACCAACATGATCAATACTGGGCTAATCTCAGTGGTGCAAGTATGATCCTTCTCTCACAAACTATCTGTTTCCACTGGTTTTAACATGTTGTATCTTACTATACTTTACTACATGTGATAGTATAAAGAAAATTTTTTATAGGCAAGGAGATAATATAGAAACCATTGTTTGTTTTCTGTTAACTGGTTCTAAATACCCTGTAATTCTTTCATTCTCTTGAATGGCTTCACACTGTCTTGATATGCTTGATGTTATAGTATACAAATTTATACTCAAATAATTCATGGAATGAGGCACTATGGTGACTGCTATTATGTTAGATTATCTGGGAGTGAAATACAATGATGCTTAAATTGTTCCATTCTGACAAGTGTTGTTCTATTACAATGTCCTCTTTTATCTCAATCTCTATCCTTTTTTTAAAAATTAAACTATTTTTCATTTTTTTTTCAATTAAGGGAAATCTAAATTAAAAAATATTGGGATATATTGTAGTAACTATTTGTTTTCCTATTAACCTGATTTGAACCCCAGTATTGCTCTCCCCATCTTGTTCTGTCTGATTTTACTATATTCTATTTGTTTGATAGTATCAAGTTTGAGGGTATAGGCAACCACTTTGAAGGAAATAAGATTTACTATGATACCCATTATAGTTTGACTATTATCTTCTTTTGAAATCTTGTAAGGTCTCCAGTCTAGGTTTTATTGGTCTTGTTCTGTACTGTTTTGATCAATTCTATTATACCTGATGATATAGGCAACTCTTTTTAAAAATAGCAAGAGGCACAATGGTAACCATTTGTGATCATCTGATACTCTATTTTTGCATCATGTCCTATGCCCACCCTTCTGTTCTAACCAACTCTGTTTAATTTAGTCATGTTATGATTTATTCTCTTCAAAAAATGTAATAAGAACTGTGGGAGTAAAAAAAACTCAAAAAGTGTAATTGTTATTGTAAAAAAGAGACAAAAGGAAGGTGGTCTAAGGGATATAACTGCATGCTTGAGTGTGTAGGATGGAAAACCATATTACTGAGCTTTTGTTGGATCATTGAACAGAACTTTCTGCAATCTCACTGTATGAATGTCCACTTTATATGCTTTAATTTTATAATTTGGACAACTGTTTCTAAGATGATAAGATGTAACCTATTAACTAGTGATTTCTTATTGAATTTTTTCTTGAAATTCTGTATTACTTGTACCCTTTTACTGCTTTGTTTTTTATTTCCTATCTTTGTTCTCTTTAATTAAAAAATAAGCAAACCTGGAATGGATATCTTTTATTTATTTATTTATTTATTTATTTATTGGACACTGGAGATCGAACTCATGACCTCACATTTGTCAGGCAGGTGCTTAAGCCACTGAGTTAAATTCCCAGCCCACCAATGGATATCTTTTACATCTTGTCATCTTCTAAGAAGTTGCCTCTTCTCTTGAACTTGATACTAGCAAGCATACCCAAAGTGAATAAAATCAGTCAAGGCCAAATAACATTCAAACAAACCAGCTTCAAAGAAGATCAGTCATAGAAGACAATGTAAGTAATATAGGGTTTCTGTTTTAGTTAATAGGAAATTAAGGATAGTTACCATGGTATAACCTGCTATTTTTGGGTTATCTCTGTGTGCCCCCAAATCTAATATGAGTAGACAGACAAGAACAAAATATAACCAAACTAAATAGAGCAACAAGACTACTGTAGATTTTAAATCCTGATACACTTTTAACAATGTCCTCTGCCTTCTTTTTTTAGGCAATTCCTCACCTTTCTCCTTCTCAGGATACTACTATTCACTGTTCAGAGTGATATTAGTCTAGTCTCTTATGTTACATTTCAGCATACATAAAGATAATGACAGCTACTATGAAGAGAATAAGAGACATTATGGTAGTCATTATCGACTGGCCCAAAATCAGTCTTGAAAACCAAAAAAGGCTGCATCACCCTGTAACTATTTGATTAGTTCTTTAATGTTTGGTATATATTCAATGTGTGTGAAGATGGGAACAACTATTTGGAAGAAAACTAGAGACAGTAAGATAGACAGTGAACATCTGCAGTGGACTTGCTTTGAAATCTGTTTCCTTAACTTGTTTCCTTATGAACTCTTCTGTTCTGTTTTTTCATGTTTAATCTTACCCTCTTTAAGAACAAAAAGTGTGTAGGACAGATAAGCATATTAATAACTTTTTGTTGGATCCTTGAGGTGAACTGTTGACAGTGTCATTATTTGAATATCACTTTGTATGCTTTAATTTTGTTACTTGAACAACTACTTCTAAGATGACAATATGAAACTAATCAACTAGTGATTTCTTATTGTTTATTTTTCTGAAATTCTGTATTATTTCTACACGTTTTCTTTTTTCTCTTTAAATAAACATTACAATTCACCAAAAATATAAAATTTAAGTTTTACAGAAAAAATATTATGTACATAGACACTATCCATACTTGAAAGTGAAAAGCCCATTTCAGTTTAGCATGTTTAATTACAAGATACCATGTAGAAGAACAAAAACATCTAGATTAAAAATCTAGAGAGGTACAAGTGATTAACTGAAAACCATACAACATGTGCACCTGAGGAGAGCTCCACCTCAGATTTGTCATTTCTGAAATATTTGTGAAGAAATATTGACATTTAACTTCTGTAGTGATTATTTCTTCAGGTCTCCGGGCGATTTTTAAAGTAAATTTAGATCTAAGCTGTCTGAACAGTGACACTTTTTCTACGTATTTAACAAGAAACATGGATTGCCATATTTCTCACATTGTTAATCCACATAGGATCTCTGCCCAGTGAGCTCTTTCAGATATGTAACAATGATCAAGTATGCTGAGAGTATTCCCATAACACATAGGATTTATCTCTTGTGTGAGTTTTTTCATGTACTTCACTTATAATCTGGCTGCTCAGTGTCTCCACTTGCTTACATAGCCAGTGGTTTTTCCCAGTGTGAATTCTTTCATGTGTTTTGCAATTACTGTATGTGGTAAAAGCTTTGCCTCACTGTTACATAAATAGGGTTTCTCACCAGTGTAAAGTCATGGATGTATTTTACAATATCCATGTGTGGTGAAAGCTTTCCCACATTCTTCACATATGCAGGGTTTCTCAACAGTCTAAATTTTATAATGTATTGCACAATGAGCATTTCTGCTGAAACCTTCCCCACATTCCTTACATATATTAGTTTCCTGCCCAGTGTGAAGATTTTCATACATTATGCAATATATATGTGTGCTCAAACCATTCTCATGATGCTTATATACTCTGGTTTTATCTTGAGTGTGAACTTTCATGTTGCTTACAATGTCCATGTTGGGTAAAAACTTTCCCACATTACTTACATACATATGGTTTCTCTCCAGTGTGAATTCTTTCATGTTGCTTACAATGTCCAGAGTTGGTAAAACCATTCCCATATTGCTTACATACATAGGGTTTCTCTCCAGTGTGAATTCTTTCATGTTTCTTACAATATCCATGTGTGGTAAAAGCTTTCCCACATTGCTTACATACATATGGTTTCTCTCCAGTGTGAATACTTTCATGTCTCTTACAATCTCCCCGTGTGCTAAAAGCTTTTCCACATTGCTTACATAGATAGGGTTTCTCTCCAGTGTGAATTCTTTCATGTCTCTTACAAACTCCCCATCTGTTAAAAGCTTTCCCACATTGCTTACATACATATGGTTTCTCTCCAGTGTGAATACTTTCATGTCTCTTACAATCTCCCCGTGTGCTAAAAGCTTTTCCACATTGCTTACATAGATAGGGTTTCTCTCCAGTGTGAATTCTTTCATGAACCTTACAATTTGCATGTGTGTTAAAAGCTTTCCCACATTGCTTACATACATATGGTTTCTCTCCAGTGTGAATTCTTTCATGTTTCTTACAATGTCCATGTTGGGTAAAAGCTTTCCCACATTGCTTACAAACATATGGTTTCTCTCCAGTGTGAATACTTTCATGTCTCTTACAATCTCCCCGTGTGCTAAAAGCTTTTCCACATTGCTTACATAGATAGGGTTTCTCTCCAGTGTGAATTCTTTCATGTCTCTTACAAACTCCCCATCTGTTAAAAGCTTTCCCACATTGCTTACATACATATGGTTTCTCTCCAGTGTGAATACTTTCATGTCTCTTACAATCTCCCCGTGTGCTAAAAGCTTTTCCACATTGCTTACATAGATAGGGTTTCTCTCCAGTGTGAATTCTTTCATGAACCTTACAATTTGCATGTGTGTTAAAAGCTTTCCCACATTGCTTACATACATATGGTTTCTCTCCAGTGTGAATTCTTTCATGTTTCTTACAATGTCCATGTTGGGTAAAAGCTTTCCCACATTGCTTACAAACATATGGTTTCTCTCCAGTGTGAATTCTTTCGTGTTTCTTACAAACTCCCTGTCTGTTAAAAGCTTTCCCACATTGCTTACATACATATGGTTTCTCTCCAGTGTGAATACTTTCATGTCTCTTACAATCTCCCCGTGTGCTAAAAGCTTTTCCACATTGCTTACATAGATAGGGTTTCTCTCCAGTGTGAATACTTTCATGTCTCTTACAATCTCCCCGTGTGCTAAAAGCTTTTCCACATTGCTTACATAGATAGGGTTTCTCTCCAGTGTGAATTCTTTCATGTTTCTTACAATGTCCATGTTGGGTAAAAGCTTTCCCACATTGCTTACAAACATATGGTTTCTCTCCAGTGTGAATTCTTTCATGTTTCTTACAAACTCCCCGTCTGTTAAAAGCTTTCCCACATTGCTTACATACATATGGTTTCTCTCCACTGTGAATTCTTTCATGTCTCTTACAAACTCCCCATCTGTTAAAAGCTTTCCCACATTGCTTACATACATATGGTTTCTCTCCAGTGTGAATTCTTTCATGTTCCTTACAACATCCAAGTTGGGTGAAACCTTTTCCACATTGCTTACACACATAGGGTTTCTCTCCAGTGTGAACATTTTCATGTATTTGAAAATGAATTTTACTGCTAAAAGCTCTCCTACATTTCTTACATATATGCAATTTCTGCCCAGTGTGAAGTTTTTCATGGATTACACAATAAGTGTGTGTGCTGAAAGCTTTCTCACAGTGCTTACATTCATAACGTTTTTCTCCAGAGTGAAGTCTTTCATGTACTTGACAATATGTACGTGTTGTAAAAGCTTTCCAACATTGATTACATATGTAGGGTCTTTCTCCTCTGTGAATTCTTTCATGTTTCTTACAAATTCCAAGTGTGGTTAAACCTTTCCCGCATTGCTTGCATACATAGGGTTTCCCTCCACTGCAATATTTTTCATGGATCTGAACATTGTCATGTGTTTCTGTTTCTTTCGCATTCACATTACCTTCTTCAGTACCAAGGAAGACTTCTTTACACTGATTCCATACATCTCCAGATGTATGTCCATAGGATTTCCCTACCTTGTCATTTCTGTGAAGAAATAAATCACATAAAAGATTTATAACCATATTACTAAGTTTTTGTTGGAGAGTTGAACAAAACTGTTTGCAGTCTCGCTGGTCGAATCCCCACTTCATATGTTTCACTTTTGTATTTCATAACTATTTCCATGAGCAGCATCTGTAATCATCATCTTGTGATTTCTTACTGTTTATTTTCACTTTGAAAGTAGCATTATTTCTACTTATTTTGTTTTGTTTAATCTTTCCTTATATAAATTTTAAAAAAGAAAAATTCACAGTGAAATGGGTCTCTGTTTAATGACTGCATTAATGTCAAGTTCTGTTTTTAATGCCTGCTAAGAAATTCTGACCATGAAACAACAGAATGGCCTTGTAAGATATGTTGAAAACAACCATTCCCAAAAGACTGGCACACATTTAGAAATCTTAAAAGTTGGTACTTTGAAATGCAGAATCTTTAACTTCACTTTGGGCATGGGCACATATGTGTATCACATACAGATTATTCTGATATGTTTCCCCATTCCAATCTACCTTCTGTCCTTAACCTATAGTTCCCTTTTCCATATTGTCAGTCTTACTTTTCTCTATCAACTTTCATTTCATTCCACAATTTATATTTTGGTGTCTCATCTAAAAGAAACCCTGTGACCTTTTAGGTTTTATAGCTGAGCTATTTCACTGAATTGATGGGTGAAAGACCCATCTATTTCTTATGGCAAATGACATTATATTATTTATTTTTTGACATTATATAACACATTTTTTTCTTTTCTGGGCTGGGAATGAACAACAGGTATTAGCATAAAATCTGTAGCTTTTTAAAAATCTATTTTAAGAGATTTTTCACTGATCATTAAGCTGTGAAGTTTGAACTTGAATTTGCCATTCGGCAAAATCTGATTCCTAGTGTGCTGGGTTTACAGAAATGCACAATCACAGAACATCTATTAACATTTTCCTTCTCCACAAATCCAGTGATAGATAGATAAGCTTCAAGGCCTGATCTGTTATAACTTGATCTGCTTTGTATATGAGTAAGCATGTATCAGTATTTTATGCAGATTTCATATTTTAAAAATATCCAGGACAAGTGTGAGGGGATCAATTTCTAGAGACAACTGCATATTGATATTCAAAATGAGTGCAATAACATTCCACCAGCCTACTAAGAATATTAATCAGAATAGCTGATTCTCTAGAGAATGGCTTGGAAACATGAGCACTCAGTTTTATTTCAAATTCTATTGCAAACTTAGCAATTATTAGATAATGAATGTGTTATATTCACATGTAGACATGGGTAGAAAAACTGAAGGCAACTCAAAGTGTATTCTTTTCGTATTCATCTATATGCAATGTCATACATTTTCATGATTTAATTCCCTCATATATACACTAGCTTATACATCTTCGGGGAATATTACTGACATTAAATTGAATGGTGTCTCTTTCTTTGGTTGTCATTTTTCTGCTGACTCACTAATTACTGAGGAACATTCCTCTACTTGTGAGTGCGAATTACCTTAAGTAGCTCCAGTAAATTTTGCCTTCTTTTTCAGCTTCCTGGATATCCCCGAGTCCTCCTGAATTGTAGACATAGAAATACCAGGACTCTTTAGAGTAATACATACAAATTAATAGGTTTTGTTTAGATTTATGATATAATGTGTCCAGGTCTGAGCTATTTTTAAAAATCTTTTCATATTCTTTTTCATGAAACAGCACTAATGAGCAAGAAACAATATTCTGACAGCATGAGGGGCAAAAAGATTTTATCCTTACCTATCAGAGTCATGTTCCTAAAGGTTTCGCCCATCACATCTCTGTAGAGCTTCTTTTGGGATGGACTCAGCAAAGTCCACTCCTCATTGCTGAAGTTCACAACCACATCCTCAAAGGTCACCACCTCCTAAAGGATCATACATATATTTCTCAATGGAAGGTTGAGACCCCAGGTTTGGGATATCTTAAACTTTCTCCTAGAAATCTGAATCAAAAGCAAAGTGTGGTGGTGCATATCTATAATCCCAGCACTCAAAAGGCTGAGACAGGATGGCATCAGTGTGGTCAGGGCAATTCTAGGCTCCATAGGGTGTTCAAATCCACCTGATATACATACAGAAAGCTTGTCTCAATAAAACAAAACTAAACTAAACAAATACAACCAAACAAAACAGCTGAATGAAGACTGATTTCTTCCAATTTTAATCCATGTCTTGGTCATTAATTTTGTGTATATACACATTTTTGAAGACAGCAAATTTGATGCTAGATTGCAACTCACTGCTAATGTAACAGCCAAATAGGAGCACTGATTCTTGTGCTGAATCATGGCAAGATTCCCCCTGCACTGTCTCTAAAGCAGAGCTCACAGTGAGAAGCCTGCAGGACCAGCAACCACAAAGCACAGAGGCAGATAAATATCCCATCAATTGACTGGAAAGTCAAGCAAGCACCTCCCCTCCCCGGTCAGCAGTGGTGGTTTGGCAAATTGCAGCCCTTCCACGGGGAAAATCAGCAGCAGCTCCTGAGATCCATGCCAACCTGGAATTTAGGACACTGGGAAGCCAGTCAAGCACCACTTCTCCCTGGTAAGTGGTGGCAGTCTGTCAGACTGCAGCCCTTCCAGGGGGAGAACCAGCAGCAGCTCCTGAGATCCATGCTATGTTGAAACTTAGGATGCTGTGAAACCAAACAACCAGCCTGTCTCCCTAGTAAGCAATAGTGAACCTACTGATGCACCACCTAGAATCAAACATCCCACTTCCCTACCCCTCTTCTCCTGTCACCCCCCACCATTAGCAAATGGGAACCAGAAATCTGAGCATCTCCTGGGAAGTTGACCATAGCAAATAAGGGGGACTTCCTTCTACTATTTCTTTTAAGGAAAATGTTTTTATTATTGTTTCACTCTATTCTGATTAATGGTACTGCTCCATTCAATATTCTGTTTGGATAAGTTCTATAACATTCTGTATTTCATCTCACTTTGATATATGTGATTAAAGAACAACTATTACAAAGATAACAAAATATACTGTGATACCTATTACTGTTATCCCAGTAACCTGTTGTGAAGTTGTGTACCAATTTCACTGTGTGATCTTAGTTGGCCTTATGCTGCCTTGTTCTGTTGTATTTTACCAATTTCAATATTCAAAAATAATCTCATCAATCACTTTGATAGACTACAGATGATGTCTCTTCAAATCTCATTTAAGCCAATGAGTACTTTGTTCTTAATATACTTAAGCAGAATTTTGAAACATTAATTTCCTTTCATAGAACAAAACATAAATAACATCAAATATGGTACATAAATAATAACTCAAGTGTTAGTGGAAAATGGCTGTATTTTTAAAATATGTATATAAAATGAAACCAGGCCCAAGCTGTAAATTATACCTCACTGTTACCAAGTGATCACTTTCAATTCAAATATAAGAAATATATCTTGGGAGGCTGGTGAAGGACTTCTTCCTTGAATTTGGGGCTATCCTAAGTTACAGAGCTGTCTAAAATAGACAATCCCTGACTGAGACACCGAACAAAGTGAAACTTAAAAAGAGACTGCATAAGATATCTTTGGTTTGTTTTAAAACATTATAGGCACACAATACAGAAAAATTCCAACAATACACAACACTTTCTGAGGAACAATGTGGATATCTTCCATACTACACAGAAAATACTTTCATAGTTGGGTATTTAGCTCAGTGGCATGAACGCCTGTCTGGAAAGCATAGGTCATGAGTTTGATCCTTGGTACAAAAAAAAATACAAATTTCACTTTCATGACCCTGCGGCATAATTAGAGCTAATCAAAATTAGATCTCAAGTATGGAACAAAAAATAATGGGTTGACAGGGTTGTGGAATACTGATTGTTGCCAGAGCTGGTGTTGATCACCTCAATGAAGCAATCAGAATCCAACTTTACTTCATACTTACTCTAAGAACTACCTGACTTTCAGTGAAGACCCTCACTGTTGTATGTCCTGCTATTTGCTTCCTGCATCCTCTCCTGTCAGTCACTTCCACATCCTTTCCATACTCCTCTGATCCATCCTAAGCAGAAAACCCTTCATGCCTAACTATTGATATCACTGCCAAATTTCTATTTAGGGCTTCTCATTTACATCACTTAGATAAGTCCATTGCAGAGCATCTCTATATTTAAACTGTCTATGAACAACCAAGCTACTAAATCAGCTCTTAACTTAGAGATGACACCCCTATTCCTTTCCATTCAGAAGGATATCACGTGTATATGTCCATGCAAATGCCTAAATTTTGGGATTTTTCGATGAGAATTTAACAGGTAGCCCTTTCTGGAATTTGTCTTTCACAAATATTTACCCTGTCCTTGATAACACTTTCATATTTGCTTCATTTTTCTCAGACTTCAAAACTTTATGGCTTTTCTTACAAACCTAGACTGTGAGCGGGGTTGCCACCTAAATTATTAAGTATGCTCAGAAATTATTTTGCACTGATCTGTATAATACACAGGAGTCCACCAGGTGTTTGGGAAGCCTTTCTCCACTGAGGCACACTACTACAAATCCCTGAATTCTCAGGACCTTTGTCACTACCTGTCCTAAGGATGGAAATATGAGAACATATTATAATTTAAGGAGATCACTATAAATACAAAAAAGCCAAGTTTAAGTTGAGCCATTGTGGCTATGAGGCCACATATTACAGACATTAATAAATTCCAGACATTCCAGATCTGCTACTCTGAGGAAAGAGAGCAGAGACCAAGTTCATTACTGCTCTACAAGCTACAAATCATCATGGTCAGGGTCTTCCCAAGATCCTTCCAATGCCTAAGATGGTGGAGTTACCAGGCTAGCAATGAATTTGAAAGATGATACTTGAGTCTGCTGCTCTCATAGTGAAGCCAGGGGTTTGGGGACCTCCAAATCACCCTTGCCAATAGCAAGAGGCAAAAGGGACAGTGAATGACCCATGGGCAATGCTGCAGGACCTCAGAAGCTGAAGCTAACTAAATACCTGGGGCTCCAGACACCGGAACTACTCCTAAATACTTGTAACTGGTTTCACCCAATCCACCCTATTTCTGGGCTTCCATCCACAACCTCACTATTCCATGGTTCCAGGATCTCTCAGGTTCTTTGCTAATCAGGCCACAGGACATCGAACGTACTAAAGGAGATCCAGCAAGCATTTTGCTACCACTATTGTACTCAGAACAGATAAATCATGCTGAGACAACAGAAGAGACAGAAGTTACAGCCAGCAATGGCCCGCCTGATTGGACAGTTCATATAGCCTGCCCCTTCATCACTGATTGCCTCTTGCTCTACTGCTCTCCTTCTGAGTCAAGAATAAACAGGGAAAGGAACCCCTCCCTGAAAGAGAGGGTCCCAAATGATAGACTGTATTGCAGAGACTTCTGGAGCTGTCATTCTTCTACAGTGGCGAACTCAGCTCGACCGAGCAGTGTTTGTACTGAAGAGCTTACCTCAGGCTTTTAATTTTCAAATCCATTTTATTTCAAGGAAAAAAGAGCACATCAAGTAAAATTGAATTTCAAAACATGTCAATCAGGGAGCAAAACTGGTATATACATTGCACATTGTCATCCCCAGATCATTCACCCAGACCACAAGACATCTCTAATCAGTTTTCCAAACAGTCTGTTACAGGCACCTGAGTTACTTAAATACTCTTGGCATGAACCAGGGCTAGGTCCTCCAAGGAGCCCATGCAGGAGACCAGATACCTTACAACTATGGGGAAGACTGACACCTCATGCTATGGGCCAAGGCTAAAGACAATGATAAGCAAATTCATCCATATCCTAAGGATAGATATTCTAAATAGTTCCCTAGCACTCTGAGGAAGTCAGGAGTCACCATTCAAAGAAATGTATCCTTATCCTAAAGAGTGACATTCTAAATAGTTCCTATCATACTGAGGAACTCAGAAGTCACCCTCCCAAACCCCTAAGGGAAGAGTCACAGCTGCCTAAGAATGCCTGCTTTCTATGTGACTCCCTTCCCCCTTTGTTCCCAATTTAATCAGCTTTACCTGAACTTAATAACCCTATTGGGTACCATAGCTCTTTCCCATCTTATATCCATTTGCATTGTGAGTTTCTAGTTTTCCCCACCTTAACCTCATTTCACCACATGATTTTACTTTATAAAGTTCCCTGGAAAGGACAATGTTTGGCAACCTGCTCAGGACTCCTTCGCTCTCTCAGGCAGCTTTCTTTCTCTCAATAAGTACATTCTTATCTTAACCTCTGTTGTTCCTAAAATTCATTCTTTGACTTTACAGAAAAAAAACCCTCATATTAAACATAGTAGACCGGGTGATTCATTCTGCTATAGCAATATCGATATAAACATTTCTCTTTCTTGAAGTCAGAGAAATCAGTTAAAGTTTGTATCACACAATGTTGATCTCACCTTGCCAGGTATACTTGCATTGAAGGCCTTTATCCCTGCCTTTAAGTGCTGCTTCATTTTCTGAAAGTGAACTAATCTCTAATTTTGGTTATAAAATGCATTAAGGAAATGACTCAAAATTTCTTATGAATGGTTTACCACCAGCCATGGAGGAAGTCAGAGAGCAAAAATTCTTTGTTTTGATTTCTTCATTCAAACCAAAGGATGTACTTGAAAGAGTTTTGCCCTAGAAACAATTACAGGACCTCATGGTGGTCGTTCAAGGTGGGAGAATGTGAAATCAGGGGTGCTTACTCATATGGTCACTTCCTCTTTTCCCCTTGAATACAACTTCCTCTTTCCTTCCCAGGGTCCTAAAGAAAATTCCCATCAGCTCCTGGCATGACATAAATGTCCCTTCCAAGCACCACATGCAGTCAAAAGTCACATATATGCCATATGCCCCTAGTCAGTTG